ATAGTAAACCTCTTTTGTTAAAAAACAAATACTTTTTAAAACCTTTTACACACTTTGGGGATATCGCTGAATTTTTTCTGAATGTTCCAAAATATTCGTTTCAGAATTACCTTTAAACGCTAGTCACTTTTCATTTTGATGTCATATATTTTAATTTGTGTGTCATGAAAAATGGCCTGCAAATATAATTGTAAATATATCCAATTTGAATTGCACTGTATCAGAACTCCTCACCTTCATGACCAAAACCCATTCATAAAGAAAGCTAGTAATAGCCCAGGCAAAACAGTTTATACCTAGTACTTGAAAATAAAAAAAAAAAAAAAAAATGAAAACAACAAAAAAAAAAACAAACATGGTCAAACATGAAAATACCACTGAATAACCATCTCCAAAATATTAGTTTGATTAAGGGCCACATTTATGAAGTGTTGTAAGGTGTTCCTGTTTTATCTGAACACGACTTTTTCATTAATTTCTAAAGGGTGTCTTTTAAGTGGTAATGTTACACTACTGTCTTAAAGTTAGCATGTAAAAACGTTTAAACCAGCTGCATTTATATGCACATGTCCTAAGTCAGAAGCATGTTGTTCAGTGGTTGTAGTTCTCGTTTGTATTTAAATTAGACTGTTGGTTTTTCCTGTTTGAATTGTTTTACAATGGTCATTTTGGGGCCCTTAATAGTTTGCTGTTCGATGTGAGCAAAGGCTTTGTGTTGAAGGCCGTACTGTAACCTATAATTGCTTACTTTGACTACACTGTGTCTTGATGGAGAGTTGTCTCATTGGTATTCCTACCACATTTTCTTATTTATAAAGATATTCCCTCTGACATTTGACAAATCCATTAGAATATACTCTAAATACTGCAATTAAATTGTTTTTTTTTATTGAACATTCTATCCTTTTGTTCTCTTGTTTTAATCTTTTTAAACTAGTCATTTGGGGACCCTTTGTAGCCTACTGATCAGTGAGAGCCAAGGCTTGCATTGAAAATAATACTGTAACCTATAATTGCTTATTGTATCTACATTGTGTCTTGATGGGGAGTTGTGTCATTGGCACTTATACTACATCTTCTGATTTTTATATTGAAGCAGTTTTGAATGAAAAAAAAATGATTTCCAATATTGAAAATGTTTTTTTCTTCAATTTAGTTGATAGTGAAGAAACTAATTCTTCATTTATATGTCATATATGTTTCTTGCTGCTTCTTTGTTTAAGTCAAAGTAATGGTAAATGCAAAAAACAAAGCAATTTTATACCAATAATATTTATTTTAAACAAACATGGCAATTTTATTTTAGAGAAAATACAAAAGCTGATGCAATATAAAATATTAAAGTTTCATATTTTAAATTTCGAAATCTCATAAGAAAATTTAGTTTACACAATTATGAAAACAGTTGATCTGGAGTTTTTAATCAATTAGATAACGTTTTTTATATTTTGATGAATATTTTTATGAACCTTAATTACTATAAATAGAAATTCGTTTTCTTATCTCTGCCTGCATCTATCATCACTCGGTGTCTATAAATAGACATTTCATATCTTATCGCTCACCCTGTTAAGTCTGCTAATATTGCACGCATGATTAACTTTGATGTTATCGATCGTAATTTACACGGCACATTTAATTAATCTTCCTAAGTCGTCATTTCATTGCTTAAAATATTTTCATATCTTACATCTGCATAGTCAAATGTAATTTTTAAAATATATTTAAGATTACAGTTGTTTTTTTTTGAAATTTAATTTCTATCTCATTCGCATTTTGATATCGAAAAAGGATACCCAGAGGTATAACAATCTGATTTGTAATTTTAACAAAAAGGAAATAATGTTGCAATATTTAAACAAAAATAAATTACTGTAACTATTTTATTTTTCAATTTTAATTAAGAACCGAAATGTAATTTCATAATTAATTTTAACTTTATTTTAAATAAACGAAAATTTTTAAAAAATCCTCGTTTTTTACACCTTTTCTAGACGTAAAATTTTATTCAAGTGCAAGAAAGACTTCCTTTAAATTTCAGTATTAAAAAAAAAGAAATTCCTTGTTTTGTACATCTTCCCTAGATGTATAATCTTAAATGAAATGCTAGATGGACTTCTTTTTTAGTTTCAGTTTTAACGAATCTTAAATACGCATAATCGTTTTAAATATCGCATTGTTTACATGAAATCTTATCTCATATCTGAACACAGCTGGTATCAACGTTTGACTCTAAATAAAATAACTACGCATATAGGTTATGTAAATATTAGCAGCTTGTATTTGCGTGCAACTCACATTTAAATGAAAATGGATGAAGGTCGTTTGAAAATTAGGCAATAAAAAAAAAAATAAAAAATATGTATTGTGACACGTTTAGCCAAAATTTCCTTTGTTCTGAGTGTGCTACAATTTCCAATACAAGAACACTTGTGAAGGGGTGGAGTTATATAACTGTCAGTTACATAACAGTTACAAATGATCTAGTTTTATGGCTCCACCCCTTCAGTTATTACATACGTTCGATATATATATCACAAGACAAATATTTGTTCAAGACAAGAATTTCCGGATCACCATAAAATACGAAAACTTAACCATTTGAAACACTCGTCAAGAGCCCAGCGATAAGTCAAAATGTTTTACTACAAATAAAATGGCACAAGAGAAGACTTCCCTGATAGCTTATTCATGAATCCGTGTTAAACCTCGATTAGAATAACTTCATTAAAAGAAAAAAATGATTATTTTATAGAATTTATTTTAATTTGGTTCTTTTCCATGTTTAAGCATGAAAGTAAACATTGCATCCGTGAAAAATTTGACCACTGCTTTATAGCACCAGAAAGGGGGCCTTGAATTGTACTTAACAAATTTATTCTGCAAACTTTAAAATATATATATATATTGTGACACACAAATCAAAGGTAGAGTTCATGTGGGCAATGATAACAAAATCTAACCACTCGAACGCACCCTCGTCACCCTAAATTCGTTCAGGAAAAATACGTCTTAAAACGGATATACCTTTAATTTCTACATAGGTAAATTTGAATTGTTAGGTTAATATTAATTAACTGGCGACATGAAACCATAATTTGTAACAAATAAATATTGTAATATGCCACGTCAAGCGGTGTGTTCGTTTGGTTAGAATGATAAAATTACTGCCGGTGTTGCTATTTTTTGGTTTTTGCTTTTTAAAATTGAACAAAACTACTGAAAATAATTGACGGGCGTTATATATACCAGAATTGGGCAGTGGAAACTTATGGCGATATTACCTTGCTGGTAGTTTTGCAATGTCTGAGTCAACGTCAGGTTTTGCAACCCTTCAAATGCAAAATATTCATTTTCCACATTCTGGCAAACTTGTGACAAAGTTAAGTCATCTACATCGTCAACCATATCGACATCCAAAAAGTCAATTTCTGCTACATTCATTCCGCAATCTGCTGGCTCTTCCATCTTCAAGTTAAATGTCCGCATCAGCTTGCCATGTGGTCACTTAAAAATTTTTCGCCCCAAAAAACAAGATTTTCATTGCCGGAGCTTTTTAAAAGCCACGTGTCGTAGAAAAACTCGGGCCGACTCGGAACGGTCCGAGTCACAAATCATTTGTTGTATTCTTAAACGTACCATAATTTTTGTATCTGATTTACAAGTGGAGGGTGGGGTTAACTTGTGGCTACGCCACGCGTTAACTCCACCCTCCACTTTTAATTCAGATACAAAAATTATGGTACATTTAAGAATACAACAAATAATACTTATTAGCACAGCTTGCATCAGAATAAATTTCGTAACATATGCGACTATAATTAAAATGACTACGGTGAGTAGTTTCAATTAACACTTAACACATATCTCTATATCAACTTTAAAATTAATAAGCTATTGCGCATGTAGTTCCTGATAGAATCTGCATTCAGAATACAAATGTGGCCATAGAAAGAACAGATGTGTTCCGAAAAGACTTCCGGCGTTCCGAAAGACTACGGAGGTCGTCCAATAGGGGTTCACGCAATAAACTCATAAATCTATTTTGTTTTGGTTCATATTAGAGTTTATACTTCTGTTATTACAAAGGTCTACATTACATGTATAACATTCGATGAATAAAAAATAAAAACACGAGATTCCGATATTAGATACAAAATGATACTTTTCGACCAAATATCACGTGTTCCTAGGTGATAGTTCTCGTATTAGCCCAAGATGCATTGTGGTACATTCTGTTAAATAACGGTCCGCGTTAAAACAGATAAATCAGAGAAAATGATTTGGATTCAAACAAGAAAAGCTTCAAGTGCCGGGTGTAAATTGCAGGATAAAAACAATATATGTACATTGTCGGAAATACAAAATGTATTTATACTCGCTACGAAACAGGAGAAAAGCTCGGCGAGCCTTGGTTTCCGTCCTGTTTCTAAAGCTCGTACAAATAAATTTTATATTTCCCGACAATGTACATATATTGTATATGTATTGAATGACTTGTATACATACGATGTTTGTGTACCGTTACAAATTTTGACACCAAGTCATTCAGCTGTTAACTTGCTGATCATTCCACCAGAATTATGAATTAGATGTTTGACATATATGTCAATGAGACAGCAACCTTACCAAACGAAACCAAAAGAAATGTACAGGTCAACATATATATTGTCTTGAGCAACAGACATGTGTCCAATCAAGGTTTCTGGGTCTAGATCATCCGAGTTTAGAAAAATATTACCAAATTTCTTTTTGACGTAAGTTACTAATGTATATACAAGAAATATATACTAAAGAAATTTATATTTCAATAACCTTAAAGTTTGAAACTTAATTATTGTCTATTCTCGACTTCATAAAACTGTAGTTTAGTTACAATGGAATTGATACATATCTATTAAGATAATAAACAGATACAACGAATATAGATAACAACAAATATTTTTTAATCTGCAAATAAACTCGGACTTCTAAACCGGTAATATCACCTACCGTTCGAAATGGAAAATGGACATATTACAATTTCCGATCAAAAGACGAACGTCAAGCTTAAAGTGTATAAAAGACGATGGTACGTGTTGCTTTTGTTTTCATTGTTTGCTTTCACACAAGGTGGTTTATGGAATACTTGGGGTCCAATTGCAGACTCGAGTGAAGATGCATTTTCACTTAAAGATGCCGATATTGCACTTTTGGCCAACTGGGGACCGATTTCGTACATTGTCGGTGCATTTGCGTCGGCCTGGATGGTGGACAATAAAGGTAATATATATATAAATCTATTAATAATGTTTGCATCTGTTATATAATACGTCCGGTTGGAACACCGACGTTTAGTCTGATGTATCTTCTTATATCAAACTCTACATAAGTAAGTCTTGCAAAAACTCTTTCGGGAGTACAGTTGAATGTAAATAAACTACTGCAGGGTAAACCCCTTCTACGATTCATTTTTTACGCACATATGGAACAAACCTACCTAATTGGTTTATTGTTTATTGATTCTAGTCTTAAATATGTACGAACAAATGCCACTGCATATTTAATAAGCAGCAAAAAACTATGCATAGTACTGTTGATATTTATCTGCGGTAGAAAATATACTTTCAAGCTTACCTCAAAAAAATCTCTGTTTTAGTTCATTTTTTATAATCACATTTTAATGCTAAAACCTGTTAGTTACGAGTCAAATCAAACATTTTTGGGGTAAAAATATTGCTTCCAATTGTTTTAATGTTGTCATGGAGAACACATACAGTCAGTTGCGAAATGTCTTTAAACACCACTTGATAGTTGTCTGCCAATCAAAATCTTAAACTCATTATAAAAACTCTATGTAAAGCAATTATAATTTGAACTCAAACTAACAAGAATTATTTATTTTACGATTTGCGTATTTTCATCACCTAAATCATAATCTAAAGTGCATTTTCAAAGTCTAAAATTAATGTAGATTTTGCCTCCCAACTGTCCGGCTGTCTCGATTCGAGTGCATGGATGAAGAGTCTTATGTAGACAAAACACGATCCCGTTTACTCACTAAAAGCATGGTTACCTTGATTACTTATTCATAACATCAGTGGCGAGAAATTGCCTTCGGTACAACAAGGATTTCAAGGGTAAAAACACTGAAATCTCAAAAACAAAGAATAATGCAAGTCTTTCAAAAGAGAAAAAAGTGGCGACCCCATATGAACAACTATTGGTCTATCGTATTTTTTACTCGTGTGTATGCTTGAAACCGTTGTGCCACGTGTTTATTTTCATACGAGGGATAATTCCCCGATTAAAACGCCAACTTCGAACTTAAAATTATTTATTCACATATAGTATTGTTGATTTATAGTTATTTTCGATATACGAGATAGACAAATGGTTATTTTTTATGATATTAACTTTTTAGATGTAAAAGTTTTCTGTTCTTCTTCCCATTTGAGAGAACAATAACGCATTACACATTGGTATACCTCTCCAGACGACCCTTTTTAAGCGTTGAGGTTTACTATATTTAATTTAAAGATTTGTCCTTGCTCAATGTCAAGTGGCAAATGCTTAATGTATACTCAGGACGAGAACGAATTAAAAATTATTACAATATGTAGGCTGTTCAAAGGAAAGAAGGGTGGGAAATTTGTACGGCCGCTGGAAAATTATCAGGGTATGATAGATGCGGGTAATATATTTTTCCTTGCAACAACCAACCCAAGGACCCTAAAATATTTTAGGCAACGGTTATTTTTATATACAGACAGCGTTCATGTAACACTCTGCCTACACGATAGTACCTATATTAGATTTAACGTCTCTATTGCGACCGGACGTGGCTGTGTATTTATACATCCCGAACAACTTTAAGAAATTTAGCATGAGATAATTTTATCCCCTGACCATATGTATTTAACTCAGTCACTCTTTCTGTTTATATTATTTGAAATACAATACTAGTATTAAAAAGAAATCCACGGAACCCTGTGCCGCGCATTATATTGCTACTCTCTTAGTAGCAAATGTAATGTTGGCTGCCAAAAAATAAATCCATTTATCAGTAAATTACGGTAAGAATAAAAAAAATCTAACTTTTTCTTTAGAATTGTTTCTTTGACTTTGAAGAAGCTTCTGTTAAAGTTTCATAACATTCCATTAAGGTTTGGCAAAGTTATTGATGTCTAGAAAAAAATAATCTCAGACTGCATCTAATTGTTTACTGTCTTTTGCGCTGAATACGGTCTGTTGATTATAAAACCAGCTTCTGTCGCACTACCAATTGAATTCTCCGAAATCTTAAGACGGAAGGACATTTCAGAAGATAAAGCAAGGAAGCATTTAATTATTGTTGTTAAACTTTTTTTTAACAAAACAGTTAATAATATATTACCATTATCTGCATATCTCTAAATATTAATATTCTGAAGAGAATTGAAAAAAAAAAACTATTTTTGTTTTAAATTAGCGTTCTCATCTTAAGAGAGTTTATTTCATAATACAGTGGGATAAGGAGCATAATAAATGCTACAAAACCATATCTCTGAATTCTGGACTCAATGCATCCTTATATCGTATCCCAACGTTACGCAGAACACTTCCATATATATTAAAACAATATGCAATGACGCAGGAGTTATCCCAGTAAATAACGCATAACACTATTCAGTTTATTTAAATCGTAAAAAGTAATGCTAAAAGATTCTTGTAAGCGGTAATACCTAATACCGCATTTTATTGCAAAAAAAATAAATTGAACTGTGAATGGATGTGGAATTGAAAAATGACAAAATCAAAAGCCCAAACACATCACACGAATGGAAAACAACTGTCATATTCCTGACTTGATACACGCATTTCCTTATGTAGAAAATGGTGGGTTAAACCTGGTTTTATAGCTAGCTAAACCTCTCACTTGTATAACAGTCGCATACAATTCCATTATATTGACAACAATGTGTGAACAAAACAAACATACATAATAGGTTAAAATGTCAAACATTGGGTTACAGCAGACAACATTGTGTTATAATCTTAATCACTATAATAACAATCAAATATGTCAACAAAGAAAAACAAAATGGCATATAGACAAAGCACATTAAGCACAAATGAAAGACAAGAATACAAAAATGGCCATAGCACAATAACACAATGGCGTGATTTATAAGGTCTTGTGTTTATGTATTTAACTAAAGGCGGAGATATTGTAATGATAGTTGCAATTTTGACAAGACGAGGAAACTGAATAATAAGTGTAACATAAAATGTGCGTAACAGTTAATTAATTAAAACAAATTAATGAAAACAACACATTATAAATGCCATGTGTCCATACAAACTATAATTGGAGTAAACGTTTCGGTTTAAATTTCTCCCCAGACATGTCTTCGACTTGCACAAAAGTTTTGTTGATCTTAATCGACTGTACTACCGCTACTGAATACAAGATCTTCCCCTTCATGAGTAGTGATCATTAGTAGCAGTGAAAAGCTACAATTAAGTGCAAATAGTCAACAGTTCGTTTGTATTAAACATATACTAGCCTCATGACGGAAACATTGATTGAAAGTGCTACTTTTGCTTAGGTACTTTTTCAGTCGAACTGAACATTGACTCATATTACCCCGGTATTTTTATTTAATTGTGTAGTACTAAATATGTAACTAAATTTTCAAGTGTAGTACTTGTATTTTATGGTACTTTTTTGGTACGAAAGTTTGATTGTACTTTTGAAGTACTGTGAATGCTAGTACTTAATTTTTACCATTAATTTCAAGTCATGGACAGTCAAAGAAGACATGACTTGTGCTTAGACTTTTTAGTCAGTTTTAAGTATTTATACACTACCAGGAATTTACATAGCGTTTACATGTACTGGTAAATAATACCATCAATCAGTGCATTTCTTATCCATCTCTGAGAAATAGTGTTTTCAGAACTAAAATTTTTTAATACTGAAAATTTCAGTAATTTTTCAGTACTGAAAATACAAAAAGGAACGTTCTGGAAATAGGTGGAGAAAATGTTTACAGAGAAATAGGGATAATGCCATGAAAGGAAACATGCTTTAGACAAAGGACTTTTGACATGTTTTAGGTAGAAAGCAGAGAACAATAAAAAAGTTCTCGCTGTGTTGAAGACCCATTGGTGGACTTGGGCTGTTTTCTGCTCTTTGGTTAGGTTGTGGTCTCTTTGACACATTCCCCATTTCCATTCTCAATTTTAAACCAAATTGTTGTTTTTACTTATTCAATTTGGACTAATGTATTCTAAGATATTTATCACGTTGGTGGATATTTAGGACCTTGGGTGCTTTTTCATTGCTTTTAACTGCATAATTACTTCTAGATGTAATTGACTTCAATATCCTGTTTAAAGGGTTGCTATTTCATGTTCATTTACCTAACGAATCCTTTTATTCCAATTATGTATTTTTTTATATATGAAAATGCAGTGAATAAGTATAGATCTTTTTCGTCCGATGCGTTTTTCTGGATTTACCTTCATCAGGAACGCTCAAGGCAAATGATATATAAGAACCGAAACATGACTTGTGAAGAAATATATGACCAAAAGGGACATAAAATGATAGCGCAATCCATCGTATGTCTTAGTGTGTTAATAATCTATAAATAGACAATATGAGAAAGGTATGTTATAAAATGTTTAAAGGGGCATTAGCTGTGAAATTCATGTAAACCGATCGCGATTTGACTCAAATTCTCATATTTGATTTATAACATACTAAAACGTATATCCAAATTACAAAAAGTCTAAAATAAACAATACACAATGCATGGACTCGATAATATGTATCAACATTTCGTGTGTAGTTTTGTCTAGACGCCATCTAATTAACCATCGAGATGACCTCCGAAGACTGCCGACGGTCATATAACCCTATATAATCATGAATATAAATATAAACAGATAGTGACCACGTGCAATTGGATTTTTCTTAGTCTGTTTGATATCATATTGTAGGTTAAAAAGTATGTTAGTCATCGTTTTTACCTGTATAAGCATGATTTTGTGTGTAGATCAAATCAGTCAACCAAATGGTTCATCCTTGTTTCACTTTCAATGTTGACATTCGTTTCCTTTTAATAGCTGAATACATGCGTTACTCATGTACAGCTAAGGGGTTAAATTGAAGGTCACATGAATATGGATTCAATGAGGTCGAATTATTCACTTGCAAGTGAAGAATTCATCAGACATGTTTCTTAGCTTATTTTGACAAAATTGAACCAAATTGGCTGCTAAAAGCGAATTATTTATACACTATTTCACTTTCATTACTGATTGAACAAAGCAAAATATCATATATTTTTTTATCTCGTAGCTAATGCCCCTTTAAGTTGAAGTTATAATAAGTCATTTTAGTATCCGGACATTATAAACAAGACATACATATACATTGATAGAAACTTTAGATAATTTTCTAACCGACAACTTCCTTAACTGGTACCATCCCTCCCCCCCCCCCCCAAAAAAAAAGCCAAATCAAATAAGGATCAAATAAGCAATTAGTATATTAAATACTGAAGCTTTTCATCTTTTCAATAAACACTCAAATCAGATCTGTTTTAAACATTTTCAAGTTTTATGTTTACTCTGTAGTTTCACACGGTGATTTTGTGTAATCTACAGCGCTATTTTAACAAAGTCACGAAGTGGTGTACATCTTTTTCCAATTTTCCACCTTTTCTTCTGTATTGATAGTTATTTTATGTCCAGTGGCAAATATTGAATAAATATATATTGTCTGCTTTGTATTTGTCAACGTGTTTGCTTATAAAATAAGATAGGACAGGAAAACATGTTACCTTACACTAACACATTTATCTGATTCCGAGCAGACACTTACTTCCAAACATAACGTGTTCGACAGAAAAAAGGCAAATATTGATAGACCCGGGACGATCTCATGCAGTTAATGCTTGCATAGCAGTCCAAATTCCTCCCTTTTTGTCCCGGTCATCCTACTAGTACCTTGCAGAACCTACTAATTATAGAAATGAATTTATTTTTGGCCTAAATATGCTTAAAATAGCAAGCAATAACAAATTCACGAGATAGTTCAGTTTCCGTTGCTAAAATTTACTGCTAAATGAAATATATCCACCAGTAAATCAGTTATGATTTGTTTAAAGAAGCGATCCCTAACTGGGGATTTAATTTAAGAGTATCAAATGAACATTTTTAATACTCTGTTTATTTTCCTCATGAAATCTTGTATGCATTATAGTCATGCATGTATGTTATTTACTGTTAGTCCGACTACTTCGATTGTTTCTGAATCGGAATTTGAGATAATGCTTAACGCAGCTGTCATCTAAAGCACATCATTACACCTGCAAGAAGCTACAAAATTAATGGCGACGCCCCTTCCTATTTCAGGTCTACGGTTTAGCTGTCTGCTTTGTTCATTTCTGATTGTTATAGGGACTGGAATACGATGCATTACAAGGGAAATTGAATATGTCAAATGGTAAGAAATGATAAATAAATAATTGGAAGTCAACAGATAAAATGTAACAAAATCAAAAGATATCCAAAACAGATTAAAGGAAAAAAGGATAGAAAATAGGTATCCGTTAAACCTACAATGTGAAACACGACCATCATGAACAACACATGACTATAATTAAAACCCCTTAAGGATGATTTATTTAAAAATAAAGGAAAGAAGTAGGATAACAATCTATTATAGGTTTATCATGTTTGTTTTTTGCATTTTCAGTTCATTGAAATATATGTTCGTTGTTTGCGTGATTCATACGGTGTGAATCCATTATGTGTTTTTCAGAGGAGATGATTGTGTCTGCTTCATTAGGAAGAATTGTTAACACGTAAAGAAGATATTAAAGCACTAAATAATTATAGTGTATATAAAATATATTTGCAGTTTTACTTTTATGTTGAAAATGTCAAACACGTAAATTAGGCATAATCGTGCTTTTAATCATTTTGTTGTTGCTAAAAATACGAACTTGAATTGATTTAATATTGCTGGCTAGTTTTAGAAAAACAAAGATAGATTAATTGTTTTGTTTTTAATCAATTCATAATTTCTTTTTGTCAGTGCATAAAACCCGTTACAAATTTTCATCAATTCTTCCAAGTATATTGCTTTGTTAAGAGTTGAATACCACTCTGGAATAACACAAAGTATGTTGACCTATACATGTCTTTTCTTTTTTGTTATTGGGTCTCTGTCGTATTGACGTATTTTCTACATTTCCTTTTATTCATACCCATCAATTTTACTGTAACACTATTTATATTCCAGGACCATTAATATAGGACAATCTTTAAATGGACTAGCTGGACCGATTGCCATGGGTGGACCACCTCTTGTTTCTGCAACATGGTTTCCATTGCACGAGAGGACAACTGCTACAAGTCTTGGATTCTGTATGAACCTTATAGGAATTGCAGTATCATTTTTGTTAGGTATTGTCTTACTTGTAAATTGTAACTGGATATGAAATTAGCTAAACTATAATGTCAAACTTCGATCTTGTTAGTGATTTAATACAAAGGATATTGACATTAGTTAAAAAATTATATTGCTTTTATCAGCTTTTAATTTTTACAAGTGATATCTCTGTAAATCACCGAAAAATATCAAATTGCGTCTTTTACATAAATATACTATATAATGAAAACAACATCACATGATGAGCAGGTTCAACAGGCTGTTAAGTAAGATACGAAGATGTGGTATGATTGTCAATTAGACAACTATCCAACAGTTTCCAAATGACGCGGATATAAACATTAAGCAACTATAGGTCACTGTATGGTTTTTACAATGAGCAAAACCCATACCTTAGAGTTCACGATAAAAGGTCCAGACAAGACAAAATGTGAAAGAAGTAAAAAGAAAAACTAACGGGCAGATTATGACAAAATTACTATCGATGTTCTTTAGTAAAATGATATGCATTGAAGAGTTGTATCCTCTGTGTCTATTCAAGTTTGATACTTGTGGTAAAATCAATGAAATCTTATAATCAACATTTATAAATGTATGATGCTTTTAAAAAATGTTAAAAATATATTTTTAAATCGCTCATTTGCGATGAGTGGTTTATAGACATAAACTTTAACATGATATTCCGGTAAAATTTAATTCTAAATAAAGGGTCGATTTTTTAAAACTAAAATACTTTTGTTTTAAACATATTCATTTTATTTTGTGTCAAAGCAGAAGCTTTTCCGCTTATGTATAAGTTAATCAATTTTACACTAATAAGATTGTTAATATATATCTATTTTAGGTCCATATGTTGTCTCAAACACGTCGTTTAAGGAGACAGCAAACAGGTATAAGCCAATGATTTTTCCAACCAAATAGCTACATTTAATTTTATTTTCGCTACAAAAAATAGACCTGGTATTGTATTAATAGTTGCAGTTTTTGATTTATCGATCTGTTAGGTTTTACTTGGTTAAATATTCCGTTAAAATATATAATTTTAGAGAGAATATATTTGATGAAAGAATGTTCAGCATACTGCAGTTATAAACTGTATATGATTTTTACATATCTTTGCTGTTGCTTTTTTATCATTAAAATAATTTGAAACCGATTTCTAACAATAGGAATTATTGCCACTTTCTTTTATCGTTACCCCCCCCTCCCCCCCCCCCAAAAAAAAAATAATCACCAAATAAACGGATTTTATGTTTACTTTTTACTGTATATAAGTAATCTGTCTAATATTTGTATAGGAATTACACAGACAATACGACAGAATCTATGAATATGACAATGTACATTTCTGATATGACAGAAGAAAATAGAAAGACGGAACGAGGACAAATAATGCTTTTGATGTACATTGGTAAGCGGAATCGTACTATGTGCGTCATTTTAAAGATTTACATAAAAATAGTATGTTAACCTTAATTAAATAATAAGGAGGTGTGGTATGATTGCCAATGAGACAGCTATCCATCAAAGTTCAAATGAAGTAGAAGTAAGCAATTAAGGCAACCGTACGAATATCAGCAATGAGAAAAACCAATACCGTATAGTCGGCTATAACTAACGGCCTAATTCATAACAAAACGAATTACGAAAAAAATATATGACAGACATGAACCAACGACAACCACTGAACTACAGGCTCCTGACTTGGAACAGGCACATAAATAATGTTGCGGGGTTAAACATGTTTGAAGGCGCCAACCCGCCCTTAACCTGGAACAGTTGTTTAGCAGTACAACATAAGAACAAACTATAAAAATCAGTTGAAAAGGCTTCAGATCGATACAAAGCAGTAAAACATCTAACAAAAACACAGACCAGACGTGGCAAGGTATTTATACATCCATCACAACACAAAAGACACAAAGTATAGACCTGAGAGTACTCGTAAGTTTGTCTTATGAATGCATTGAAGTAAGGTAACAAGATCAAGCCAGATAAAATATTCCAGAGAAATCTGGCTTATAAGATAAGTATAAAGATCGGTAGTACAGCCAATAAAATAAAATCTTAAATGTAGAATAAAACCTTATCCTATGAATGAAAACTGACATTGTAGAAAAGTTAAACATACATAACTTAAAGAATTTTGGAAATACCTTCACACGAAAATGTTACATTTAAAAAGTAGGAGTTTCCAGTTCATAATGTATGTAATCGTAATAAACTAAAGTTTAAATTTCCTCAGTCAAAGTTGACAATAGACGTACTTTTCTGCTGATCGGGCCATTTTTGCTATATATGTTGTAGATTTTATGCTTCCAAACTTTTGGTCTCTAGCGTATCTGAATATGATGATTGGTTATTTCAGAAACATATAGGCGCTCGGAAATCGATACCATACGTTTTATTAACTACCTATACCTTATGTTATACACAATATGCTATATTGAAAAGATTTTGAATGTACTTTATAAATATATGTAATGTTAATTATTCATTTCAGAATGCGGTTGGGCTGTGTTTTTATTCTTGCTGATCGCTGCATATTTTCCTGCAAAACCGACATTACCCCCATCGAAAACTGCTGGTATAAAACGAATCGCCTTCAAAGTAGGCATGAACGCCATTTTCAGGTAATTTATATTCACGATAAAATACTCGGGATGGTTTATATATTACATTACCATTCCCATATATTTGATTTGGTTCTTCTATTAATCTAAATTTTGAAAGTTACTTAATCAACATTAAGCCTTGATATATAAAAATAGAATCTGAAGCTGACCGATATACTGATATACTTTAGGTCATGGTAGACTTAAACACACCTAAATGTAAAAGGTGAACCCGAATGACACTTGCCCGATTTGATTATAACCAAATAATTTTCAGGATAAAAATAAAATATTGATTAGCAGCAAGTGAAAACGAATATTCTGCCCGATTCTTTTTTCTGCCAACCTCCCCCTTCCACCCAGAATATCAAATGGTCGGGACCTGATGTTAATTTCCGTTTGGTGGGGTTCGTGTTGCTCAGTCTTTAGTTTATCTATGTTGTGTGTTGTATACTGTTGTTTTTCTTTTGTTCGTTTTTTCGGTTTTTGCCATGGTATTGTCAATTTGTTTTCGACTTATGAGTTTGGACTTCCTTTTGCCATCTTTCTGTTGGTTTTAATAACAGTGTGCTCTTTTTGTCAAGAAATCAATTCCGGAAGCTGTCCAAACCCCTTCCTATATTTAATCACGTAATATCACTGTGTATCATCGCCACCGGAAATTGGGTACTAACGAAGCGGAGAGAAATGGAAAAAAAAGTAAACAAGGTAAGAATTCATTCAATTTAAAGCATTTCTACTGATTTGACGAGGGTACCGCTTAACAAATGATCTCCTGATATATAATTCTTAAAATTATTAGGCCGATAAGTACAAAATTAAGACAAGATTTTGTGTTATACGCAAGAACTTGCCACTTAGTACCTGAAAATTTCGAGGTCGATCGTCCTCTGTCGCCCCATTGGCAAGATATTCAACTGTTTTTCATTATTTTTCCAGACACTTTTTTAGATTATTATAGTGTGGCATCATATTTACTGAACTTTGTTGTCAAAATGAACGTTTTTAAAGAATATAGACCATAAAAAATAAAGTCTAGGGTACGGCAACTTGCTCATGTTGACAAATTTACTGTATGGCAACTTGTTTTCAACTGTATGGCAACTTGCTAATTTCAAAATATTTATTTGCCGTCTTTTTAAAAAAAATAAAGTATTAGGTTCAAAAATCTAATTATGCATTTGATAAAAAAACAATTCGCTTGACACCATTTAAGATGTATACACCATATAAGGCTTGAACACAGTCCTATTACATCTTTTACATACCTGATGTATACAATATGAAAACGGCATATACAAAAGCTGGCAAATGTTGTAACTTTCGGATATGCATGTCACTGTTTTACTCACCTATTGTTCTGCCCTGACGTAGCGTTAAATGTTACCCATGTCCGTCCGACCCGTCTCTCCCGTCCGTCCAGAAAGTCCCAATAATTGGTTTCCGTTCTCTAACTTTAGTATGCCTTAACCAAATGTTTTAAAACTTATGCTTATCATCACAAAACACAGATCAAGTTATAAATTGGGTAGCGTCACTGTTACCGTTCTTGAGTTATGCCCTTTTATAAATGAAAAAAAGCTAAAGCTGTCGTTTCTGTTCTCAAACTTTAGATTGCCTCAACCAAATGTTTTAACCATACAACATTAGTCAGCATTCGCATATACGTGATGAACATTTCGGGGATGGGTTGTGGGTGGAGAGAAGGAAGGAGGTAATGGCAGGAGAATTTTTCCGCATTGAATATTTAGAACCATTAAGTGAATGAATTCTCTTTCAACTTTCAGATAAAATGAAATATAAATGAATTATCATTCTCTGCAAAAAAAAATGTTGTATTGCTACACCACGGCACTATGTTAAGGGAGGTTTGAGTGCTCACAAACATGTTTAAGCCCGCCTCAATATACATGTGTCTGTCCCTGGTCAGGAACATGTAATATAGCGGCTGTCGTAAGTTGCTGCCTGACATATTTGTTTATGATTTTGTCATAAAGCAGGCAATTTTTATACGGTATGGGTTTTGTTCATTGTGAAGTGTAAAGTAACCAATGGTTGGTCAAATCTATTTCATTTGGACTTTGTTTGAAAGTCCTCTCAGTGAAAACCATTGCACGTCTCCTTTTTCAATTAATGTTATTGTGTTATTTGTAAAAGGCAGATACAGCCAATATATTAGAATAAAGAACATTAATTTTATAAAACAAAACTTCATCTCTATATAGTAAGAAATGAACAAGCTCGGTGGCTAACACTGTTTAAATTTAAAAAAAATATTAACCTTAGATTAATCATTTTTGGAAAGAATGAAAGAAGAATCCGATACAAGGGATACAAATCCGGCTGTGGCTACGGCATAAACTATTTATATAAACTTTCTACTTGAGAATAAAGATGACTTTGTATGAAGTTTTCTTTGGTTGTCATCTTAATATTATGTACTTATTAATACAATTCCAAAAGCTAGCATCTTCGACTTGTAAGTTTAAAGAATTATAATGAAATAACATCTAATAAGGACAGGTTGAAATAATTTTGAACCCTGATGGTACATACTCATAAATCTTTTGGAAAAATCAACGTAAATTTAAATGTTGATTTGATACCGTTCATTTATTTATTTGCCTTCGTAAACAGTTTTGTTAAAATACCGAAATTGGTAAATTTTTATCGTGAACGAATAAGTCGGGTACACCTTTTTACATTCAGGCGTGCTTAAGTTGCACTTTTTTCTTCTTATTAAGAAAAATGATTTACTGTTGATTTTGAAACTCTATGAATTCACATTTATATTCAACCAAACAGATAGGCCGAGATCCATACCTTTATAAGTTTTAAAACAGAGAAGGTGTGTTTGAAAACAAATAATCACGTACTGCTATATCTTTTAAGGCAAATGCAAGTCTTACTTGTATTTATTATATAATTTTAATTGGCACAATATCACATTAAAATTTACTGAGAAATATTATACAAAAGTAATCATGAAAATGTACTACTGTAACAATGAAAATTCGGACGAATACACTCCTTTTCACTACCCATCCATCGACTCATTTAAGTTTAGGCCAAACAGCCTTAGCAACTTTTTTTTTTATTATTTTTTCCCTGTAAATAAAAAGATTGATTGAATTTACTTAAACTAAAAAAAAGACAATCTTATTTTCAATAAGAAACAAGAAAATTAATTCGAAACACAATTCATGATTTATTTCTCCTAATTTTCAATGAAAACAAAGTATTTTCTTCACTTTTCTTTTTATAAATTAACAAATTATTCATTTCAAAAATTTGAAAAATAAACAATAAACAATGTTGAAGACCGTACCTTGACCTATAATGGTTTATTTTTATAAATTGTGACTTGGATGGAGAGTTGTCTCATTGGCACTCATACCACATCTTCCTATATCTATTTAACCCAGCACATTCTTTATGTGTCTGTCCGAAGCCACGAGCCTGTAGTTTGGTGGTTGTCGTTGGTTCATCTCTATCATATTAGTTATATTTCGTAAATTGTTTTTTATGAGTTAGGCCGTTAGTTTTCTTGTTGAATCCTTCCACAATTTTCATGTCGGGGCTTTTTATAGCCGACTGTAAGGTACGATTTTTCGTTGTTGAAGGCCAAACGATAGCATATAATTGCTTACATACACTTTATTTGACCCTGGTGGATAGTTATCTTATTTGCAATCATACAACATCTCCACTGTTTATATTAAAAAAACCCAGCACCAACAAAGGATGAATGGTCGGTTTTTTTTTATTGAACTTACCAAATTTCACCCTGACAACAAATAAGACAACAGTCGTTAGTATTATAACGATATATGAATTTATTTAGGATAATATGGTTGAAAAAACCTTTTTGTCTTTAACAACACAAAGTCAAATAGAGGTACGCAACGACGACTTCTGAACGAAATTGACGGCATATATTTTATAATATTTGATAATTAGTTTATTTTGTATATTTGTAAGCCGGTAAAGTTTTGATACAGCCAAAATTTCGTCACTTGATATTATCTAAGCAGTGATTAATTTCATCTTTAAATTACAATATATTGCAAGACGCCGTACAGACAAAAGTTGTTATTTTGCAATTCGCCGTACAACGTCCTGCAATTCGCCGTACAATAAACAAACAATGTTTTGGTCCATATTCTTTAAAACATCTTTATGACAACAGATTTCAGTCAATATGATGTCACACTATCATAATCTAAAAACGTGTCTGGAAAAATAATGAAAAACAGTTGAATATCTTGCCAATGGGGCGACAGAGGACAATCGACCTCGAAATTTTCAGGTACTAAGTGGCAAGCTTTGGAGTATAACACACAATCTTGTCTTAATTTTGTACTTATCGGCCTAATAATTTAAAGAATTATATATCAGAAAATCATTTCTTAAGCGGTACCCTCGTCAAATCAGTAGAAATGCTTTAAATTGAATGAATTCTTACCTTGTTTACTTTTTTTTCCCATTTCTCTCCGCTTCGTTAGTACCCAATTTCCGGTGGCGATGATACACAGTGAATATGAAAACAAACCAATATCCAAACATTTGATTATGTATTGGATATTTTTTTCTCTAGTATGAAAAATTGCAAGTAATCAAATTACGTGAAAACATTTATTGTTTATTTTAAGTACATTTAAAATAACTTCTCAGTATTGTAAAATATATTGAAACATATATTAAAACAGATATTATATTTCAGATCAAAACCGTTTTGGTTGATATCGTTGATCTATAGTATTTCTTTAGGAGTTTTCAATGTTTGGCAGGGCGTCCTCGATGTCAACTTAAAAACACACGGGTTCAGTCAGGTATGTTATAACACTTAACACCTTATAAGTAGATCAGGAACTGCCAGTCACCACACAAGAGCACATGTGTAGTATTTAAGAAATGTCATGCCTATTTGTATTTTTTTCTTTTATCCATGTTGTTGTCTTTTTTATTTCGCTCTTGGTGTTTCTTAAGTTTGCCTCGTGTAAATTTAATGAAACTCATACACAATCCGAAGAACTACAACACACAGAAAGAGTTCGAATTTGGGCAGTGAGTCATTTACCGTTCTAGGGTTATATTCTTTTTAACTTTGCAAAGCTTGAACGGGCATTCGTGTCCCCAGACACATTATTCTTTTATTTCGTCAATTTCTTATAACGAGTGAGGGTATACTTTCTACAATAGCGAATGAAACATTTTGTTACGCCCCACCTACGATAGTAGAAGGGGCATAATGTTTTATGGTCTGTGCGTCCGTTCGTTCGTCCGTCCGTCCGTCTGTCCCGCTTCAGGTTAAAGTTTTTGGTCAAGGTAGTTTTCGATGAAGTTGAAGTCCAATCAACTTGAAACTTAGTACACATGTTCCCTATGATATGATCTTTCTAATCTTAATGCCAAATTAGAGTTTTTACCCCCAATTTCACGGTCCACTGAACATAGAAAATGATAGTGCGAGTGGGGCATCCGTGTACTATGGACACATTCTTGTTTGAATAGTAATTTCCAATAAAATTATTTACTTTAACTTTTGTATATATATTTGCAGGAGGAAGCTGGGTGGTTGGGATTTTCATCTATAATAGCTGGATGTCTCTCCAGTGTTATAATATCGAGGTGAATAAAGCACCAGTTAGTCATTTTTAAAATTTCTGTAGTAGAACTACTAGTGTTTTAAACCAGTATTAAATATTTAATAAGGAAATGTGGTATGACTGCCAATGAGACAACCGAGTTTAAACGACGTGCATGTACGCAATTATATATAGGTCACAGCATACAAAAGTTTTTTAAAAAGCTTACAGTAAGTTTTATAAGCAATTAGACTGGTTCTGGTATGGATAATTATTTATAATATATACAAATTATTGGAATAAGAATATATGGATATAGATGGATGAAAGCGCTAGACATTTAAAGGCACTTCAACCAACTTACTATTGTTTATTTTTTCCTTCATAAATTTATATATATTTGCATTAGATTCTTTTCAATATATTTGTAATCGATTCTGTTCAAAAAGATGTGTTAATGTTGATACCTTTTAATTTTGTATTCATATTCGAAGGGTATCTACACGTCTCAATCTTCAAAATCGCTTATCTAAAAATACTACCATCGCTAATATTTTTATGTTTAGGGGCCAGCTGAAGGACGCCTCCGGGTGCGGGAATTTCTCGCTGCATTAAAGACCTGTTGGTGACCTTCTGCTGTTGTCTGTTCTATGGTCACATTCCCCATTTCCATTCTCAATTTTATATGAATGTGGAAGTTGTCAATGGACATGAAAACAAAGAAAAACTTTGTATTTGCCACACTCTTAAGATGAAGATCAATGGCGATGGTTCATTTAATTTCAGCATAATACCGCAATTAATTCTTCTAAAGCAAATTACAAGGATGAGAAGAAATTATGAATTTAAAATGTGTTTGATGGTTTTGTTACATTAAGATTTGTAAAGCGAATAAATAATATGTTTAAGGGCGAATACAATCCAATCACAGTATATGGAAAAATACTTCAGAAGCAGATGAAAAAAAATATTAATATATATAGGACAAAGTACTTAGTACTCATTACTGTGATTAAAATTACTTTCCCAGAAACTTGCTTTTCAAAAGTTCTTGTTCTTAATAATTATTTCCCGAATGAAATTCTGATTATGAATATTGCACATTTGACGCTAGCTGTTTTGTAGAGTTTTTTTTATAGCTTCTATTTATTCGAAAACGTATTCAAAGCACAAGTTTTGTCGCCATTATCTTATATTCGTTAATCTAGCGTATACAAGAAAAAATCATACAAATGTAGATATACAATGTATGAGAAAGATTTAGGCGGGCCTTGTCCAAACATATTTTATTTTGTCAGGACTCCGTAGAATTTACAGAAAGTAGATTTTTAATTTCAGTTCATAAGTTAACAAGTACGAAGCTTCTTTTCTTTCAACTTAGAAGAGAGTTATAATTTCGACAAATTCTTTGAAGACTATGTGGAAATCTATGTCTTTTGATTTGATGTGACATTTGATTTGCCGTCTCATTGGCATATAATAAAAACTCAATGCAATAGACTTTTTTCATATTACCGACTTTTAACTCCGGATTTTATCATTTTTCGACAGGTTACCTACTATGTTGTAGGACATCCTGGTACTCGGTCGTGTGAGAGCAACCTAAAGAAGTAAAATCAGGATTATGATTGGTACAATTTAGAGGTGAAATTTACTGTTTTATGTTTTCTTCATACGACAAAATATTTTGTAATCAGTAAACTTTCCGCCCAAATTGCACCGATTATATGTTTGATTTTACTTCTATTGGTTGCTCCTACTTGACCGAGTACCAGGATGTCTTACCACAGAGTAAGTAATCTGTCGAAAACTGATAAAATCTGGAGGCAAAAGTTGGTAATATGAAAATAGCCTATTGTATATTTCAGCAGGTAAACTTTTCGCTTTAACGCTGCAATGACGTCGGTTAAGGGCATACGATACAGTGTTGATCCCACGGTGAATTTTTGACGAAAGTTTGCACGCAAAAGTGGATTTTTGTAAAAACATCTGGAATATCTTCTCTACATAAGTGTGCTTTGAATTTATGTAACAACTCTTTGGAAATTATTCATTTTTATCCCATTTTCATGATTTTAGTCAAAGAAAGGCATTTTTTGCTGTATATGTATTTAATTTAAAAAAAAATCATCGGTAATTTATTCATAAAAATTGACACAAATAGTCTTCATGCATAATCAAGCCAAATGTCATTTTTAGAAAGAGGGGTCCATGAACTCGTTTTCAAGTTAAATTAGTTTGAATAATAAAAATCTGTCTAAAATGCATCTTTTCCCGATATGTCATAGTTTGACGTCGTAACATGTATGTTAGCAACGTCATTACTTCCCCTGTAACTGTATCGTATGCCCTTAACACACATTTGATAGCTAGGATAACATTCAAACATTCCTCAAACGGGAAGCCATAAAAAAGTCTAAATAAAGGACAAAGAATATTTGCACCAATCAACATTTATTGAAAGACTAACGTCAGTTATACATGTATTTCTTTAGTTTTAAAATTCTTCATTTTAAAACCATTTCAACTTATTTTCTAGATTCGCTGATATTTTCAACAAACATTTGCGCATGTTCTTAATCTGTATTTATATTGGAAGTTTTATCGGATTTTTGTGGTTTACACTTCTAGTCAACGACATTATTCCTAATTCGACAGGTAAAAATCAAATTAATTGCTTATTTAAAACACGTTTCCTGTTTCGTAGTCAATGAAACAATCACCATATGCACCAAATATCCTTTCAATTAAGTTAATACATTGAATACTTCCTTGAAGTGCAATAATTATATCAGAATATTACAGCGAGCGGTTGCTTTTTTTGTCTCATGAATATTGAATATTTCCTCGTTGTGCAATACTTATATCAGAATAACAAGATGGTTATTACAGCGAACAGTTGCTTTTTTGTCTCATGGATATTGAATATTTCTTCGCTGTACAATAGTTATGTTCGGATAACTAGATGATGATTACGGCAATGTTTGGATAACCAGATCATGATTATGGCAATGTTCGGATAACCAGATCATGAGTATGGCAATGTTCGGATTACCAGACCATGATTATGGCAATGTTCGCGGATAACCAGATCATGATTATGGCAATGTTCGGATAACCAGATCATGAGTATGGCAATGTTCGGATAACCAGACCATCAGTATGGCAATGTTCGGATACCAGATCATGATTATGGCAATGTTCAGATAACCAGATCATGATTATGGCAATGAGCATTTTCTTTTCTCCCTCACAGATGTTGAATATATCACAGAAAATACAAGAAATACAAAAGGAAATAACAACGAAAAATGATATAATAATAATTCAGTTAATTGAAAGAAATGCATATGAATAACTTCATAAAGATTATTACCGAGGTTGATTGGTTGGAAAAATGGATATTGTTTATTAATAAATAAAAACTTCCCTACACATACTTGACAAGCTAAAAGCTAAGATACAGCGCTTAATTGCCGCTCTTCATCTAAAAGCTACACTGAGCAAGTAGGTCTTCAAAACGATACCTGGTACCTTTGCTATTTCGTCTATCGAAAAGATTTTAAAGATAACTAGAATGCGTAACCGTCGACTCTGCGGATGAAATTTGAGGAAAATTATAACCTGCCAATAAGACAACTATCAAACAGAGTTCAAATGACACTGCAACAATAAACAAAACCCATAACCCTATTTTCAGCTATAAAAGACCCGAACACGTGAAATAATCGGCACAAAGCACAAAAACAACTAATAACTATATTAAAACAAAAGATGGACAGTCCCGATCTAAGTTTACTAACAGTTTCCGAAAGCCAATAAAAACTACTAAATGAATTAATCATCTAACATTTTAAATTCATTCCGAAAATCTGTCAAAATGTACCGTGTTTACTAATTAAAAACAATTTTTTCATATAATAAATTTTTGCAGAACGTTGAAAAGTCACAAATGAAACTTCACAGTTGTTAATACGTTTTCTAGACAACTACGAATATCAAGTTACTTCTGATATCTTCATTGAGACTAATAACGAATGTGTTAGGCATACATGCTAGAAATAACGAATGTGTTAGGCATACATGCTAGAAATAACGAATGTGTTAGGCATACATGCTAGAAACACCGAATGTGTTAGGCATACATGCTAGAAATAACGAATGTGTTAGGCATACATGCTAGAAATAACGAATGTGTTAGGCATACATGCTAGAAATACCGAATGTGTTAGGCATACATGCTAGAAATAACGAATGTGTTAGGCATACATGCTAGAAATAACGAATGTGTTAGGCATACATGCTAGAAATACCGAATGAAAACCGTGAAACATCGTCAGTATCTTTTTACTTCATTAGCACGTACACTCATGAAGCATAATGAAAACGGATCATAGTCTCAAGAAGTCAAGGGATGAATGTGATATACCTTAGAATTTCTAATATTGTAACTTAACTATTGTAGATGATAATCAGGGTATGATATAAATGCACAAAATATATTATGAATTATTATACATCTATGTCGTGCATTCTGCCGATATGTTTAGAGTATAAAATTGACACGCTGATCAAAGAAAATTTCGAAATATTGAAATATTTTTTCCCCATTTCTTAGAATATCCTTTTTAATATTATATTTGACTACCTTGCATATTTTTCAGTATCCTTGTATGTTGCCATAATTCTTGGAACGATATGCTTACAAGCAGCGTCACCATTATATTTTGAAATGGCCTGTGAAGTGTGTTATCCAGTGTCAGAAGGTCTAACTAACGTGTTTCTAACAACCATGTGTAATGTTGGTAGTTTTATATTTTTGCTATTGCAAATGATTCCAAGTATAGGTAAATACATCCTTCAATTATAACTAGAAAATAAAATGAAACAATCGCAGGTGCGGATCCAGGATTTAAAAGCTCTATAAGGGGGACCTGGGCCCCCTGACACCTCCCCCTAAATCCGCCTCTGAGTCGTACACAATTTGCTGCACTCGGAGTTTTTTTTTATCTAGATTGATAAATTATTAATAGTTTGCTAAAACTAAAGCTGTTTTACCTGTCTACAGACATATATAATAATAAGAAGATATGGTATGATTTCCAATGAGACAACCCTCCACCAGAGACCAAATGACATAGAAGTTAACAACTATAGATTAACGTGCGGCCTTCAACAATGAGTAAATCCCATACCGCATAGTCGGCTATAAAAGGCTCCGAAATGACAAATGTTAAACAATGAACAAAACAAATTTGACATACAGCAATAAACGACAACCACTAAATTACAGGCTCCTGATTTGGGACAGGCCGTTACAGAATGTGGCGGGGTTAAACTTGTATGATTGCGCTAACCCACCCCCTCCCCCCCGGGACAATGGTGGAATAGTATAACATATTAGCAAACTGCGCTGACCTTTAGTTGTTAACTGCTATGTCATTAGGTCTCTGGTGAAGCGTTGTCTATTTGGCATTAATACCACATCTTCTTACTTTTATATATAAACATCAGTTGAAAAGTTGGTCTTAGACAGGTTCGGCTGAACTGTACAAGCCGTAATGCTCTCAAACTTCTTTTTTATTTATTTTGCTTTCCAAAATTTTGTACTTGAGCGTAGTAGATGAAGTTTATTGTCGGGTGAACAGAAAGTCTTTTAATTTAACAAAGTACTAAGTAGAACGCTTACGAGGATCTATATGGAAAAAAGACATTCCTTTTTAAATAAATGTATGAGTATTGTTGATATTCGCATATCACATTTCGAAAATAATTTAGAAATAAATAAAAGAGTAAGTAATACGCCCATTTCTAGGATTAAAAACAAAATTCAAGTACTATCAAATCGTTTTGTGTTCGTACCGGCCGACAAAGCAGCCAACAATATGACGTAAATACTACACGGAAGTCCTTAAAAATGAAATTATACATTCAACATGTTCAACTACATTCAAGGCCGTACGCTCCACCGAGAGTCATATAGTAAATAATCATGTCACTACCACAGCTCAGCTTAAGGCCTCCTCGGAACATTTGAAGGTCCCCACTATGTATTGGTTACATAATTTACACAAAAAACCGTAAAATATCGTTTCATCTCGGCCTCTAGTAAGTGTTCTACTACTAATCTTTCGGTTCTTTTAACGAGTTCCTTAACTACTATCAAAGAACTTATCGTTAATTTTTGAAATAAAACATATGAAAACAGTGGAATTAATCATTTTTGGATTGTAAAAATTCTTTGGATGTTTTAGATAAATTACGTGCTTTTGATGGTCCTCTTGATTCGGTTGACAGTTTTGAATTTTCCATTCTTTATACCACACTTCCATATAATCTTATCAAACAAAAGTTTTCCTATCTAATTAAATGGTCGTTTGATAAATCTGGTTGCAAATTTATTTGCTGCAACTCATATAAAGCCTTTTTCTGTAATGAGAAAGGTAAATATGCTAGATATACTTACTGGAGATGTGATGAGATGACCCAGGCACTAAATTTTCTCCTTGACAACATTTATGTACATTTCGGCAATACAAAGTTTATCGACAGATAGTAGGTATTCCTATGGGCACCAATTGTGCCCCTTTAATAGCAGACGTGTTCTTTTACTGTTATGAATCACAGTTTATGGCCAAACTCAGTAAAGAACCGTCTAAATTCCATTTAATTGATAAATTCAACAACACTTACCGTTATCTTGATGATATTTTTTCGTTAAATAATCAAGAATTCTCTAAATATACTGCTGAAATTTACCCAAAGGAACTTACTTTAAATAAATCTAATATCAACAGCAATAACTGTCCTTTCCTAGATTTAGATATTTCAGTATAACACCAGAAACTCTATACAAAAATTTACGACTTAAGGGATGATTTTTTCTTTCCCTATTGTTAATTTTCCCTTTTTGGACGGTGATGTTCCTTTGGCACCGTCTTACGGTGTTTATATATCCCAACTAGTTCGCTATGCTCATGTCTGTAGTGAAGTTTTGGATTTTAATGAGCATACTCTATGTTTTATTAGTAAATTATTAAGTCAGGGATTTCGTTACCAGTAATTACTTTAAACCTTTAATAAATTCTTTCACAGTTACAAAGATTTGGTCTGCAAGTTTGGCTGTACCTGTAGAAAACTTATTTCAAACGGAATTGTACATCCTAAATTTTACGATGATGTTGTAAACCGACCCCGGAAATATAGATTCGATCCGGATAAACTTATCAATCCTTTAAATAAACTAATTCTAAAAGGTTACCAATTCAACACTGTAATTAAATCTTTGAATATTGTTTTTATTGGCATAAGTATTGATTTTGTTATCAGTAAATTAAAACCATACTAAATATTACACATATGTACTTTCACGGTACTACAATCTGTCGATACTTATAGTTTGGCATTACACAAGGTCATGTTTTTCTCTGACTGTTAATGACGTCTTTACACTAAATCCATGTGGATGTTGGATGTGTACTGATTGATATTTTAGTCTTAGATACATAGATAGCTGTCAGTAACTGCGAATACTGTCAGATCTGTACTTAGTGTCTTTTCGTTTTTGGGATGAACAAGTACCCGTCCACGTCCACTCTGTGTTTTTGTTAGATGTATTTCTATTTGTATTCATCTGATGAGTTAATCCTTATCAACTAATTTTTATAGTTTGTTCTTATGTTGTACTTTTACACCACTGTTCCAGGTTAGGGGAGGGTTGAGCGCTCCCAAAACATGTTTAACCCCGCCACATTCTATATGTGCCTGTCCCAAGTCAGGAGCCAATGGGCGTCATGTTGTTCAGTGGTTGTCGTTGGTTCATGTCTGTCATATTTGTTTTTCGTAAATTGGTTTGTTATAAATGAGGCCGTTAGTTTTCTAAATTGAATTGTTTCATATTTTTCATGTCGGGGCCTTTTATAGCCGACCATACGGTATGGGTTTTTCTCATTGTTGAAGGCCGTACGGTTGCCTATAATTGCTTACATCAACTTCATTTGAACTTTGGTGGATAGTTTTCTCATTGGCAATCATACCACATCTCCTTATTTTCATATTACAACAGTAGGTCAAAGAGTATAAGGTCAAACATGCACCTTAGGGAGACGGATCGTTGGGTCACTCCGGTCGAATAGGTATATTTTTGTACTTGTTTCATCTATTATCTTCAATTAAAAACTTGTTTTAGGGAAACCATTGCAAGCTATATATAATTCAAATATATGTTTGATATCCACAACGCCAGGAGTGAATTACTAAGAAGCGGATGGCTTTCATTCTACAATCAGTGGTACCCCCCTAGTGTGTGTAAATTTAAATCAAACAAAGTTCATTTGCTGTGTGCAGCCTTATATAATTATGATTACTGTTTGCATGACGCCCATTGGCAACTATTTCATGCATATGCAGAAGAAACAAATTAAAAAGATAAACTTGTTAAGTAGGTACTGCAAAGAGGGTGAAAGAGTATGAGTGATGACAATCTAAAACATCTCTAAAACAGAGGAGTAATGTTTTGGAATAGAAGTTTTACCTTTGAATAGGTTAATTTTTAGTTCTCCCTAAAGAGTTTTTGCAAGGCTTATTTTACGTGACACGATCTTACAACGGGGACATAGGAATTTGACGTCCTCTTTCCCATAGGCGTGGCTGCGTATTCATACATTCCGGACAGCCAAACAAATGCTGCCGGACGAGAGAAGTCACGGTGCATATATATCAAAACCTCAGTTAAACCCTCGGACTTATGAATGTGCAAATTTTACTACTTATATACAAATAAACTGAAAATTATTTATTTTGTAAAAATATTTCCTTTGTCCTTTTAAACTGTATACCTAACAACAAAATTATTTGCATTTACCTGTATACAATATTATTGTAAATACAGGATTTTTGTTTAAAGTTATTGTTGTTTTTCTGAAATTGTTTAACACTTTACAGCGGTATAACATGTTACTTTAATTATTCATTCCTTATTTAATTGATTTCGTATTTACATTGTATCATATATCCCGCAATGGTGGTAAGTCGTGCACTTAAGGACATTTTTTATTTTATTTTTCTGTAGACTTTGCTTTGTTTTTTTTATTACTGTGTATTGTCAAGCTTGGTTACTCATAATTGTTTCTCAGTCACTGAATGTACGATGTTGTTCCATACTGGAGCAGCTGACCCGGTTTGTTTACGTTCAAATTCCAATGGCGTCAAAACCACGTGATGCATTGAATCGTTATACCCAATCAAATTGCTCTATTGTCAATTAGGTGATTTTTTTAGGCTAAGGCAATTATATTATTTATTTGTACGATAGTTCTTTGAAACTGTTTTTAATGAATTGGGAATTGATTTAACCGGGAACATCATTTATTACCATGAAAATCGAAATTAATGGAAATTTTCAGAGAGTTCACCAGTGGTGATTTTTTGGCATTAAAATCAAAATGCAATTTCTTTGTTAAATAAGTACAATAATGAATCAGAAAATGATTTTTATTTTTATTTACCAATTACTCTACACCTTTCTCACAAAACACACACATGAAACTGTCACCCCTTCTAATAACTCTCACTTTTGTACAATAAATAAGATGCACCCACCTCTCACACTTCTCACATTGTGCCCACTTAGTAAATATCAAACTACTACTCTGTCTCACCTGCTCTGGAACAAACTTCTTACATACACAGCACTTTTCATCCTCTCTTATTTCAGACTCACTCTCACTCTCACTGTCTATTGCCCAATCACTTACACATTTACCCACTCCACTCGTTCCTGGCTTCTGTGAATCACTCTTGCTACATTTTACAATTTTTTTCTTCTCTTGCTCTCTCTTCCTCTTACACTCCACAGATCCATTCTGGCCTTTCTTACTACTTTTTGCACAGCTTTTATTCACACTACTATCACTTGCTTTCTTCCCAGGATTCTTACTCACATGCTCTTTTACCCTCTCTAACACATCATCCTCCGTCACAGTCTTTCCACTAATAACCCTGCTTAACACATTCCTCTTCTTTTTTTTCTCCCCTTTTACTCTTTTCATTGCCACTACCTTCTTTACAAAAAAATCACTCTTACTCCCTTCATCTCTTCCAACTACATCTATCATTCTACCACTCACACTCACAACACTTTCATTCTCCTTGTCACTCTCAACTTCCTCTCTATCACTCACAACACTCCTAGCTACCTCCAAACCAATCTCTCCTTCCCTCAGAACACCCACATTCTCCTTATCACTCTCAACTTCCTCTCTTTCACTCACCACACTGTCATTCTCATTCTCTCTCACAACTACCGCACTGTTAACAGCTTCTACAGTCTCTAGTACAGTGTTCTCAGGATGGTTTTCAATGTCACTTATAAATGCCTCTGATGGTGTCAGTGGTAAGTCATTGATAATGTCTTTTGTGAACGGATAAATTCCTGTTTTTCTAAAAGCTGACTGCAAATTACTGGCTGATAAGGCATTTCCGTAAGCTTTGCATGCCATGCTACAAACATCATAACGAGTAAGTGCACATTGTTTTGTTCTGATAGTTCTGTGACAAAGGCTGTTGTATATATTTTGCAGAGGACCATAACAACCTACATCCAACGGTTGCAAAAGATGGCTGGTGTGTGCTGGAAGTAACTGTATAACAATGTTATGACGCCTTGCCCATTCAATTGTGCTAACAGCAACATGAGATTTATGTCCATCTAACAATAACATCACATGCCCATTACCTGGAACAAATTTCTTGAAATGATTGCTGAGGAAATCCATGAATAGTTCTGAATTAGACCAACCCGTCTTTGAGACAGTGCCAACTGTTCCTGGTGTAGACCCCTCTAGCAACTGATCATTCATTCTCTGTCCTGGGAAGACAAAGTAAGGGGGTAATGCATTGCCAATTGCATTTCCACACCCCAAGATAGTCACAGTGTCACCCTTTCCAGATGTAACCTCCTGTGATGATGTCTCCACTCCTGACACTACCTTTGATGGGTTGTGGTTGATGGTTACACCCTTATCATCAACATTATAAATCAAATGGGGTTTGTCCATTAGATCATATTTAAGTAGGGCTTTCTCGAGTTCATTGAAGTATTTCGTAATGTTCTCCTTGTTGGCAGTTTTTGCTCTAGCAACTTCCAATGCCCTTGGTTTTACAACTTTGAGATCTGGCCATCTTCCAAGCATTCCGTAGAACCAGGTAAGAGTTAGAGGTTTATCAATTTTAGTTTTCTTGTCAAGCATAACTGCATAGTCAGTTGCTATATCCACAACTTCCTGTCGGTTATATCCATATCCAAGTTGAGCCATTTCCTTCAAATGTATCACCAACAGGCTTTCTTCATCTAATGTAAAAAAAAGGTGCATTGCCCATTGTACAACACTCAGGATCTACATTTCCAGTTACCCTATCCCTAGGAGTTTGAAATGGTACACCATAAGACTTTGAAGTTCTACGAATAGATAGTTTATCAACCATTATTGCTGAATATGCACGTGTTAATGCAGTTGGAGAATAGGTCCTGTATTTGGCTTTCCCCCTGGTTGATGAACTTGATTGATCTACAAATATAATACAAAAAGTTATTAATTATACTGACCCATTTGTGTTTAAAAAACAGAAAGAAGAAAAATTCAGTAAAACATTTGATATGTATCTAGGTCAAATTTACTTTATAAAACTAAAGAAATTGTTCTTAATGCAATTATTTTTGTTTTTTGAAATATTATCTACCTTGTATTTACGTTTTACAAGCTGATGTTTCCTATTTCAAGTATTTTATTGTTAGTTTTAATATGCACATTCCACCATTTTTTTTGGTTGTAATTTGTGATGTTCTCGTCTCAGTTTGACATATTTTCCCGTAAAATTAATAAAATAATGTAAGGTGCTTGCTATTTTGAAAAGACGTAAAAAACAATTTGGTTGGCCTTACAGGAAACGGATATGAGTTCTGACCTGGAAAAATATGTAAACAAAAAGGTGGATGCCGGGACTGGGTTTGTTTCTCACTATAAATACGATTTTAGACCTGTTGATAATTGTTTTCAAAAGAGGTTAAGGAAAATGGCACTTTTATGAAATAATTATTTATTTTTAATCATACATACCTTTAGGAATCTCATTTTTTTTAAGCGAGTTGATTTCAAGTGAATCTGATACTTGTACGCTGTGAAATGTGAAAAGTGACGTCAGAGCGGAGTTTATTCACGAGATAAATACAACCAAAAAAAGCGAACGAATTGACAATATGACCGATTATAGACTACGGTAGGATATCACATTATTCGTTCAGTGTATGTTCGCTTGTGTTAATATGTCTTTTGATTGAGTTAAGCCGTTTCAATTGATATTTTATAGTGTGTCTCTCTGTGTTGTGATGTTACACTATTGTTTCAGATAAGGGTGAAGGTTTGGTACCATTAAAACGTTTAAACCCGCTGCAATTCTTTGCACCTGTCCTAAGTCAGGAATCGGATGTTCAGTAGTTGTCGTTTGTTGATGTGGTTCATAAGTGTTTCTCGTTTCTCGTTTTTTAAATAGATTAGACCGTTGGTTTTCCCATTTGAATGGTTTTACACAAGTAATTTTTGGGGCCCTTAAAAGCTTGCTGTGCGGTGTGAGCCAAGGCTCCGTGTTGAAGACCTATAATGGTTTACTTTTATAAATTTTGACTTGGATGGAGAGTTGTCTCATTGGCACTCATACCACATCTTCTTATATCTATTGATAGGAGATGTCATATACAGTAGCCGAAAATGCATTCATGTAAAAAAATATTCTTGTATTGAAATAAAAAAACCACAAATTACTTTGTTCTCAAATTGTGACTTTCAGGAACAGATTGGGAGAATTGGTGCCTATTAAGTGTGATATGTGTCTGCATCCCACTAATGTTCATGTTCAAGGACAGCTACAACCGATCCATTATTGACGAAAGACCCGAAGAAAACAACTTTACAGAAAGAAAAAAATATTAGAAATACATTCTTAAGCAAAGATCATACAATTGTTTGATCTTCTTGTTATATTCTATAATCATAAGCTTCTATACAATATACAAGATTGATATTCATTTTCACACTTGTTTCTTATTTCAAGTAAACATGCCCATATAATACAAAAGTATTAACAAAAATACTAAACTCCAAGGTTAATTCAAAAAGGGGGATGTCCATAAAGCCTAATAAAATCAAGCGTTAGCCTTTATCAACCAACGGAACGAAAACAATTGTCATAGTCCTGACTTGGTACAGGCATTTCTGAAGTAAATGGTGGGTTAATGCAGGTTTTATAGCTAGCTAAACATCCAACTTGTATGACAGTTGTATATAGTTATAGTCTAACTTAATGTTCATCACTGATATTGCTTAATAAAAAAGAAAGAAAAAAAAACCCAACATAAACCTATGCAAGTAAAAATAGTTTTATTATCTAAAAAATATATTATTAATATTGACGAAGCTCTGTAATTAGGTTCAACATGAATGAAACGAAATATGGGGTATACGTCAACGAATATTGGATATACGTCAACGAAACCGCAACTTAACGCCACAGCAAACCAAGACATCTATAGGTAAATATACAGTCTTCGACACAAGAAATGACCCTATACACTATCGCAGCTTTATAAGGCCCCGAATAAAATGATGAAAAAACATTTATCAGACATCATTTGTCTACTGTCAACGTTACATTCTCCTAATGACAAGGGTGATCGGTGGACAAATGGTCTAAGTAGTTCATCATCTACATTATAACTAGCCTGTCAACACTGAAGTAGTGAATTCAAACCCTTCACTTGGCAGACACATTCAACAACTCTCTTAATTGGCTAGATTAAAAACCAAATTTAAGAACTCGCAAAGCGTTTTGTGTTTTTACCCACATACAAAGCAGCCAACAATGTGATGGTAGTGTGACGTAAATATTACATGTATTTTTACAAGAATGAAACAATGAATGCTACATTCAAGGGTGTGCGCTCCACAGAGAGTCAAATATTAAATAATCAAGCAGCTACCACATTAAAGCTTAAGGCATCCTCTAAATATTTAATTTGGAGATCACAGATATGTATTTGCTACCTAAACTACACAAAAAAACCTTTATATTTTGTTTCATCTCTGCTTCCAGTAAGTGTTCTACGAATAATTTTTCTGCTCAGTTAACTAGTTTCCTCTCTGCGATTGAAGAACTTGTTATTAATTTTAGTAACAAATCATATGAAAAAATTCGAAATAATTATTTTTGGAGAGTCAACATATCTTTGGATGGTTTGCATAAATTTCAAGCGTTTAATGGTCCGTCCAATTCGGTTGACAGTTATGACTTTTCAACTCTGTACACTACTGTTCCATACAATCTTATCAAACAGAAGTTTTCTTATTAAATGGTCCTTTAAAAAATAGAATTATTTGCTGCAACTCGTATATAAAAATGTGAAATATGCTAGGTACACTTACTAAAACTATAATGAGATGAGTAAAGCTGTATAATTTCTCCTGGACAACATCTATGTACGTTTCGGCAATATAGTTGTATGCATTCATATGGGCACCAATTGTGCGCCTTTAATAACAGACTTGTTCCTGTATTGTTATGAATCACAGTTTATTGCAAGATTCAGTAAAGATCCATCTGAATATATTCAATTGACAAACTTAAAAACACTGATCGTTACCTAATGATATTTTTGATTTAAATAAACAAGAATTTTATAATTTTACCAAGGAATGCACCGAAGGAACTTACTTGAAATAAATGTAATGCAGACAGTAATATTTGTCGTTTTCTAGATTTAAATATTTCAGTTTCACAGGGGATACTAAATACACGATTTTTACGACAAAAGAGACGATTTTTCTTTCCCTATTGTTAATTTCTATTCTTTGGAAAGCGATGTTCCTTGTTCGCTTTGCATTTGTCTGTAGTCGCAATTTAGATTTCTATGATCGTAATTTACGTAGAACTGATAAATCATTAAGTTAGGGATTTCTTTATCACAAATGAATTACAGCTTTTACTTATTTCTATTAAAGATACAAATATTTGGATACGGTATGGGGTTTTTCACTGTTGAAGGTCGTATGGTGACCTGTAATTGCTTATATTTACGTCTTTTGAACAGCAAAAGAACGTTGTCTCATTGACAATCATACCAAATTTTCCTTTTTCAAATAAACATTTCCATGACCTTGTTTCGCTTTTTTGTTTTTGTTTTAATCTGTCAATGAATTTCTTAACAGTGTGGACATGGAGACCTGCTATTTAAATGATATCGTGTCGGTCACTGGCTGTCGACAACAAAGATTTCACGCAATTACAGTATGTCATATACCGAATTACTATTTAACACTTGTCCGTTCTTCAATATTTTTTTTTGCATGAAAGTTTATAGGAATTTCTTTTGAATATATTAATATACTCACAGCAAAAAGTTTCTTTTGAAGGAATGAGTATATTCAGAGGTGATATCACCAAGTAATCGAGAGAAAAAAAATTAGAAAAAATCTTTTCTGGCAATAAGTGAAAAATTAAGTAGTGTGTCAGTTATAGACAAGTAGTCCATCATGCATTGCAAATCATTCAGTGGATTGGTCAATCGCCAAAATAAAAATAAAGATTTATTTGTTTACACACACTAGTAAATGCATTGACGGGGGCATAAGGATGCTAAATAATACATGTCCGTATAAGGAAATGTGTCCGACCCGTTTATTGCAGCTGTTCAGTTGATTTGAAAAACAAAGGACCGATCACAGCGATTTAATTTAGAATTGTAATTATTTTTTTTAATTTGTGTTTCAGTATCTATCCAGGAATTAAATATGTTTACAATACCTTTTATACTAGAATAATTAAACGAGTGCACCCAGTTTAAAGGTTATTATTACACTGTTACTGTTATGTTGACATGATAACCTGTATGATTTATTATTCCAAAACAGATTTTGTGAACATCTCATTAAATTCATGGATATATATTAAAACACAGAAACCGAAAAAAAGAAGTACAATTTCAAATTGTAAGGGGCGACCATTCCTGATACGGTTAAAATAAGGGAGGTGTGGCTATGAAAGAGGCTTTTGAAATCAGCATGAATACAATTGCAAAAACACGTTTATGCAGAATGGTCTCAAATATGCGTCCTCAAATAACCGAAAAAAAAAATAGGTTGGAGTAAGACCAAATTCATTGAAATTACCTGCTCAATTTGTAGTAAAAGAATATAGATCCCGTAACTTTTTTTAAACGTGTTCAGGTATAACAAAATCTTAAATAAATATCAATGTTTCCAAAAAAGCTACTCTAACTCCAATCAAGGTAAATTTTGCACACAAGACCGGATTCATATGCTTCTTGATATATAACGAGTTATTTTTTGTTAGAACGATATTTAAATGTTCACGAAAATCTGATTGTTGGAGTCTTCGATGGGAATTCAGATTTGTTCCGTGCAAAAAATTATGCAGCCCAGAGGACTAAAATGATTTTTTATGAAGGTCCGGGGTTCTTTTTATCAACAAAAATAATCTTAGTATGAAAGTTGATCGTAGGTTACTCCACATCAACTCGTACGAATAAATGTTTTCTTATTTTCTTAAGGAGCCACAGGACGTTTGTACAAGTAAAAACATAACGTTTTTTTTTCTCGATTACTTGATGATATCACCTCTGAATATACTCATACTGTCAAAAGAAATATCTTGCTGTGAATATATAAATATATTCAAAACAAATTCCTATAAACTTTCATGCAAAAACTTTTATTTTATGAAAAGACACGTGTAAAGATAGTAATTATGTATATCCCCATTGATAGGCCCCTGACACACTGTAGTTGCGTGAAGTATTAGTTGTCGACAGCCAGTGATACACACGATAAAATTTAATTACAATGTGTCCATTTCTACGCTGTTGTGAAATTCATTCTAGTATTGTAGCACCGATTTCCCGTTTCCTATACAAACTGATGATGTAAATTGCTTATTTGACAACAAACATAACCATTTAATTTTTCTATAAAACCAATGCCATGATATCTATATATGAAATAAAATTTTAATTTCATTTGTAGTTAGTTATTAGAACATGCCATACGTGCCATTCTAGTAGGGACTCTGTTCGATTTTTCTTTTAAATACACAAAAAGCATCTATTTGAAATGTATATGTGATACTAGAAATAAAATAGGACCAAAGTTGAAATTCAAGTTTCTAGTGATATTTTATTTTTTAAATGACATCAAAAGCATTTTTTTTTTGTAATTTTTACAAACGTTGTGAACACCAAATATTCATTACAGCAGATATGCGTTTGTTGACCTACTGTTCCCACAGAGTCCATAATTGTAGTATTATTTGTTTTACAGTAAGGAAACGAGAAAAATAGATCATGCGCATTGATGTCCGAAGATAGAGTAATATGAAAATAGTACTCGGGACGTCACCATCCGGACAATTCGGGATGCCAGCATACGGACATTTTGGGCTGCCAGCCTCCAAAGAAATCACTAGCAGACCAAGCTTAAGTTATCAATAAGATTCTTGCATCTAGAAAAAAGATGCCAAAGCCGATCAAAAACGGCTTTCAGCATTTACTATGCATGTCTATGTCATAACGATCTCTATTAAAAAAAAATAAGCAGTCGAGACGAATTTTAATTCTATAAACAGAAATTAACTTGGAAACAACATTAAGGCTTTACAAAGATGTCATAGAAACAAAAATTGAAGTTAAAAAAATACAAAACATATTTCATAAAATTGAACAAAATTAGCATTTAACACAAAAAAAATGCTATTTCTATATTATGTCAATGAAGTAATTTAAATACTCGATCGTGAGAATTAAAAAAAATAGTTGCAAATCTATTATTTTCTATTTCACAACAGCATACTTCAATAAAACGATACCGTATTTACATAATCGTAATGAAGTAATCAGCAACAATGGTGTTCCAAAGTGCAATCA